TCAGTTAATCCAAGTCTTTCTTAGAAATATTTTCTGGTTTGATTTGTTGGGAACACCACAAAATATGCATTACATCTGCATTACTCACATTACGTGTCTGCATTACTTATAGAAAAAAGCCCCTGATTCTCATACGTTCTCAAGTGGTGGAGGTGCTGGTGCTGGTTACGCTCCCTGTGACCATTAAAGCTGCCTGTGACCATAATGGCTGCTTGACACTGCTAAGGTTGAGAGCCCTGTTCCAGTCTTCATTATCCCTCTCTACTTGACAGCAAGGTGACTTATGCTACTCAGTTGCCTTCACAAGTTTTGAGAACCCAAGGCCAAGTAGGCAAGGGCATTAAGTCAGCTTGTCCGCCTCACTGGGTGATTCAGTTTTGCAAAACTGAAGGCTGATTTAAGAAATAATGTTCTATCAGTTGTGTTTTCAATAAGGGATTTATTGTGATTTAACCTGAATATTAACATTTTCAGAGTCTCAGGTCCTATTTGAACTTGTCTTCCAGGAAAAGAAAGTTTCTGTATGAGACAAAAAACAAACATAAAAAACCCACCCTCTTTGCTTTTCATCTGTTCATCAGCAAGTTGAAATGAGGAACTCCAGTATTCCTTTCAGGAAAAAAAAATCCATCTGAGTTGTTTCTATTTCTAACTGGAATAAAACCATGCAAGTATTGTTTGGAAGATCAATTTTTGCCCTTTCATTGGCAAATCTGCCTTTCTACTATTAGAAAACGTAGGTTTAATTCTGAAACTTATTTCAAGTAGAACATAGGTCATGAAATATTATTTCCCCTATACAAAAAAATGCCCTCCTGAAATATTTTATCTATATAATTTTTTCTCAGATGTCTTTTTATTATCACTACCAAAATATTATTGATCCAGAATTACCTCAAGGTAAAATGGGTGGCCAATACATTTTAAAATTAATTAATTAATTGCTTGCTCTTAAATTGGGTGCTTTTCTGGTACTTTGTATTTCATATGCTATTAGCTCTAAGAGATACAATATTGACCTTAGATTTAGTTATACTTTATAGGTAAAACTACATTGCCTGTTATAAAACACAGTGCTCTTCCAATATTGTTGGCTGTTTTTGCTACATTAGAGCCCACTGGATAGCATATGTGTGACAATATGGGGGGTGAAAAGTGGCAGGAAAAGCTTGAGTTTTTCAATCCAGCAAGAACTAACCAGCAAGAACTATCACAGATATGAAGGAAGAATAACACTCTACCATTTAATGCTGACTCTTTGTGCAAAGACTTTGTGCAGCAACCATTTGTGGGCAGGGCCAGAATGATGCCAGACAAACTGTTGTATTTTGCTAACTTACTAGGGTCTGCACAGCGTTGGAAAAGTTTCTGGATACTGCAGAAAGTTTCTGAAGCGCTGAGAGTAGACTTGGTTAAGGCAGCAGAAGAAAGCAGTTTTTCCCCAGGCAGTGATATATAGCAGTGATCCAAATGCATCTGCCATTTTGTGGATAAAATGGTGGCTGTTTCTGGAACCATGGCATGAAGCTGCACAAAGAATTCATTCATTTTAGTGCTCTGGAATCTGGATGGCCTCAGTGCTTTTCAAAAGGTGAGGAGGAGGGTGTTTGGCCTGGTGGGGTAGGAATCAGGCTTAAAGCCTGGGGCGGGGGAGACCCAATGGGAGTGGGAGCCAAGGGGCAGGGGGTGGAGCACAGAGTATCTTGGAGAATGGAGGTGACTTTCGGAGGCTAGGACAGGTGGGCCTAGGCCTGTACTACGCCTCCAAGGGCCTATCCGACTCCTGAGGCACCCCATTTTTCACCTAAAGACCCTGGAGTTCAATTAGACTCACTGGGGAGAGCAGGGATGGTGGCATCATTAGGTGAGATTCTTTACCCAATGACCATTACAACATGCGCCCATAGTGGGCAGGCTCCACTATGGTCATATCTCAAGGGCTACCTTACTACAATCCTATTGTAATTTATCTAGATTTATCATTAAACTGATGAGATTTAAATTTTTTACAGTAGTAATAGATCTATTACTACTACTGTGGAAGTGTCAATTACTGGTATACCCAAGGCTTCCACTGTGACGTGCAACAATTGGATATACATCATTCAATCAGTTTAAATGACAATATCCTTGCATATCTTAAATTTCTTATATAAAAGACTAAAATTGATACAGTCATTAAAGAATAAATTCCAAAGGAGATGGTCATTGCTTACCTACACAACTTCTCCAGATTGATGCTTGAACAGAGATCTATGCTAGAAAAGGGGCATATCAGGCACAAGAAGTGTTACATTAAATTAGTGGCACAGATTATAGTGGCAATACTGTGTTGGCATTATCATAAATATTTAATGAGAAATAATGTTGTAGATGAGTAGATTAGTTTCAGAGAAAAAGAGGAGGTAACATAATAAGTGAACGTGGGGGACAATTTACATGTGGCACTTAAAGCAGATAGGGTTACCAGACCTGGGCTTATACTGCTTGTGTAAAATCCATTGACAGCCAAGTCTTTTGTATCTCTTTGCTGACATTTAATTTTGGACTAGATTTCTGCAGCCCAAATGGGGAAAACCTACTGAATCAAACAAGGGAAATTTCTAATTTTTTAGAATAGAACCTATAATTGTCATTCAGAGTTCTTTCCACTCTTAATATTATAAAAATTAGCACAATATTTTTACTTTATACTTTTGAAGTTACATTTTATGCAAAAAGATATTACTTATAAGTACAATATCAAAATCAATTATTTGGCCAGTTGACTTAGCATACTGTTCTTCAGGGCAATATGGTAATTCATAGCATATTAATATATACTCCATTAATGCATTGCAAGGCCATTCTCACAACATGTTTAACCCAGGCAATTGCAAATCCAATTCCTTTAGCAATGGTTTTCACAGTACACACTCCTGCCAAGAATTCTACTTGGGGAATACAGATACTCTTTATCTATATATAGATTATACAGTCAGGTCCAGAAATATTGGGACATTGACACAATTCTAACATCTTTGGCTCTATACACCACCACAATGGAGTTGGAATGAAACAAACACAATGTGCGTTAACTACAGACTGTCAGCTTTAATTTGAGGGTATGTACATCCAACTCAGGTGAACGGTGTAGGACTTACAGCAGTTTGTATATGTGCCTCCCACTTGTTAAGGGACCAAAAGTAATGGGACAATTGGCTTCTCAGCTGTTCCATGGCCAGGTGTGTGATATTCCCTCATTACCCCAATTACAATGTGTAGATAAAAGGCCCAGAGTTCATTTCAAGTGTGCTATTTGCATTTGGAATCTGTTGCTGTCAACTCTCAAGATGAGATCCAAAGAGCTGTCACTATCAGTGAAGCAAGCCATCATTAGGCTGAAGAAACAAAACAAACCCATCAGAGAGATAGCAAGAACATTAGGCATGGCCAAAACAACTGTTTGGAACATTCTCAAAAAGAAGGAACGCACCGGTGAGCTCAGCAACACCAAAAAACCCGGGAGACCACGGAAAACAAGTGTGGTGGATGACCGAAGAATTCTTTCCCTGGTGAAGAAAACACCCTTCACAACAGTTGGCCAGATCAAGAACACTCTCCAGGAGGTAGGTGTATGTGTGTCAAAGTCAACAATCAAGAGAAGACTTCACCAGAGTGAATACAGAAGGTTCACCACAAGATGTAAACCATTGGTGAGCCTCAAAAACAGGAAGGCCACATTAGAGTTTGCCAAACAACGTCTAGCAAAGCCTTCACAGTTCTGGAACAAGATCCTATGGACAGATGAGACCAAGATCAACTTGTACCAGAGTGATGGGAAGAGAAGAGTATGGAGAAGGAAAGGAACTGCTCATGATCCTAAGCATACCACCTCATCAGTGAAACATGGTGGTGGTAGTGTCATGGCGTGGGCATGTATGGCTGCCAATGGAACTGGTTCTCTTGTATTTATTGATGATGTGACTGCTGACAAAAGCAGCAGGATGAATTCTGAAGTGTTTCGGGTAATATTATCTGCTCATATTCAGCCAAATGCTGCAGATCTCATTGGACGGCGCTTCACAGTGCAGATGGACAATGACCCAAAGCATACTGCAAAAGCAACCAAAGAGTTTTTGAAGGGACAGAAGTGGAATGTTATGCAATGGCCAAGTCAATCACCTGACCTGAATCCCATTGAGCATGCATTTCACTTGCTGAAGACAAAACTGAAGGGAAAATGCCCCAAGAACAAGCAGGAACTGAAGACAGTTGCAGTAGAGGCCTGGCAGAGCATCACCATGGATGAAACCCAGCGTCTGGTGATGTCTATGCGTTCCAGACTTCAGGCTGTGATTGACTGCAAAGGATTTGCAACCAAGTATTAAGAAGGGAAAGTTTGATTTATGATTATTATTCTGTCCCATTACTTTTGGTCCCTTAACAAGTGGGAGGCACATATACAAACTGCTGTAAATCCTACACCGTTCACCTGAGTTGGATGTACATACCCTTAAATTAAAGCTGACAGTCTGCAGTTAAAGCACATTGTGTTTGTTTCATTCCAACTCCATTATAGTGGTGTATAGAGCCAAAGATGTTAGAATTGTGTCGATGTCCCAATATTTCTGGACCTGACTGTAGATACTCTTATTTTTTACCATATGACTGGGTGGAATTTGTGTAAGCTCCTGGATGATTAAGTGTGTTTGCAGAAATTACTGACTGGGCCAACAGTTCCCCCTTTGAACTTCTACAATACAATAATTCAAAGTAGGTTATGGAAGCAGAACCTCAGTTTGTGTGTGTGACAGAGATGAATCAGATCATGAAATCTTGAATGCAGAGAGAAGGAAAGCATCTGGCAGTCCTTGGCATGTTATGCAGACACAACTCTTGTGAGAATAGAAGGGTTTTTACACATGTGGTTGTCTTATTATTTAAGACAATGCACATTTGATTATGTTTTTATTTTTGAGCCAATTACTCCCCCGTGGTCAGAAAAATAACACAACAAATCATTTTTTTCTTTAATTAGTAAGTAGTAGAAATTTGGACACAAAATGTAATGAAGCACAATTTATTAAAATAAATTTATTTTTAAATAAAAAGGTTGTGGGTTTCTTTTAATTATCTCTAGAGTAACCCTAGAATGCAAGTCTAAAAATAAAGAACACAATGCATATTGGTAACAAGTCACCCCATCACTTAATCTAAGCACAGAGTAATAGATTTTTAATGAAAATGCAAAAATATATTTGTAATTGCCTTGACCAAGAGAGTTATTATTCCCTTGTCATAATACATTGTTCCAAGATTGTAGGGTTCCCTCCCCCACCAAATTTTTCATCATGTTGATTGATATGATATTGGTGTTTATTTTTCTACTACTTGTGCAATACTAATGTCTCATCTTTCTGATCTTCAGCCTACCCCATTCCCCAATTTGGTACATCCAAAGCTGTCAGCATAGCTGGAAGTCCTAAAAACCTAACCCTTTAAAGAATGAAAGTAGAGATTATTGGTATGGCAAGCAATGTGTAAAACCTATAAAATTCTGACTAGTTCAGACATGGAGAAGAATGTGAGACATTTGTTAATAAAACAATTTCTTGTGTGCCCAAATGTTCAAACCAAAGGCCCAACTGACTCAGCAATTTTCTTCCAAAACTAGCAAATAATCACTAGTCATAGTCTTCTTCTTTTAAAAATAACCCAATTTCTTTTAAAAATAACTCAATTCAATACCTTGGCTTACATATCAGTGCAATCAGATTGTATAAGTAAATGTGTATGGTAATATATGATATATACCTTCATGTATACAGCAGAGTTTGCTTACTTACTTTCTTACTTGCTAGTGCACATAAGCTTTCAGTGCAAGCTATGCTATGCAAAGCAAAAGTTCTAGTTTTAATTCTGCATCCTAAGGGCACAAGTGCCTATTTGTAGAATACAATTTGCTACTGAGTTCATGTAAGCATATACCTTTGGTGTACACTGAAATAATATGCATTCAGTGGATGCACACTATTCATTCTGCGTTGGTGTAATGTTGCAGCTTGCATGTATCCAACTTGAAAATACAGCTACATTCCTAAACTTAAAAATTAACTTCCTTCATGTGGAAGTAAGATAGAACGGCATGTTCTCAGCTTTATGACGTGGAGCTGAACACATTATGAGATAGCAATAGGAATATTCCTGTATACGAAAGGAAAGTAACTCTTGTCTGTCTGCATTCCTCTAAACCAACAATGATGGCCTTTTTGCCAGCAGGAGCACTTTGGGCTGGGCTGAAATCCACAGATCTTCTTCTTTCTTTTTCTTCTTCTTCATAATATTATGTCTTCTTTTCCCTTGGATTGGACTACTGCTGCTGTGGCTATTTTTGTTCCTTTGCTGCTGGCCACAAAAACAACAATGGCAACAGATGAAAATTCCAACAAGGAGGACAAGAACAGGTAACCCCATTAATACAGCAAGACAGATTGTGTTATAGATGCCCTCCTGATGTTTTAAGCAGATAAAAGACCAGATGGAATGAAAAAAATTACTGATCTGCTCCATGGCAACTTTTGCAGACTGGAAACAGGTCTGATAGAATATTAAAGTTTCTTTCCTTGACCTTTGCCTCTGTCCTAAATGGGAACTCTTTGTGGATTTTGTCTTTGAAGTTATGCAAACATCTTCAGTTTTTCAATTTCTGCAAAGGTAGAAGATGAAACATAAAAATGGGACAAATGAGTAAGGGAAAAGGGTTTCAGTTAATGCACCTGCTGGTGAAGACAAAATATGTTGTGATCCAAATTATATATTTGCCAAAGACCTTAAGAAAGGATATACAGCTTTTCCATATTATTCTCTCAATATTCTAATGAATTAGGTTAGAAGAGATGGATCAAGTTACTTACAGCTGAATGTGAACCCAGCCATCCTTGAACCCACGCTGCCTCCATTCAACATTCTAACCATCATATTATTAACGAAATGTTTGTGAGGATGATAGAAAAGTTGAACTGGAAGTTATGAAATTCTATAGGAAATACCCTCATAATTACACCACCATTAAATTCAGATTAAAATGTCACAGATCAGGCTATATTTTTCCATGATAATAGCTAAAAACTTTCTTTGCATGACATAGAATTACGAGAGAACTCTAATAACCGTGGCAGAATTACAAATCAGGAAAATCCTAATTCAAATATCATCCCTATATAAACTTGGGGCTATCTCAGTCATTTACTGCCACTCTACTTCAATTCCTCCATCTGCAATATGAGTCTAACAACACTGGTCTAAACTATCCTAACATGTACATTAAGTGTTTGGTACAACCTGACATGATCAATAAAAGATAAATGGTAGGATTAAATAATCATACATACAGCTGAAAGTAGATCTACAGAGACAATAAGCATTATAAGCAATAGGAAGAACTGAGTGACTAGGTTAAAGGCAGATAATCCAGGAGAAAAATCTTTCAAGTGAAGGTTGAATGAAAAGAAGGGCCCCTTCCTCTATAATTCTGCTTTAAATAGCAACATTTTAAAAAATTAATCTAGAAAGAATTCCACACTTTTTCTATTCAATCAGGTCTTGCCAGACCATTCCATTTCAGATGTCCATGAAGATATTTCGTTTATGTTGGAAAAAGTTACATGATAAAGCCCGGACTACGTGGTAAGATTCAACTTTGCAATTGCCTTTTGTGTGTCTTTAGATGCAGCACCTTAAATTGCCATGCTGCAGCAGAAGTTCTTTCTTGTGCTTCTGAACTCTTAATTGCTGTTTCAAGTAACAGATCTGGAACACATGGAAATGACCTGCTCAAACAGACAAAGTATAGAGTTTTTTCATGATGGTTTTAAGAAGTTCATTCACTGTTGGCAGATGATGTGTGATGAATGGTGATGATTATGTGGAGAAATAAATATAGGTAACAAAAGTGTTCATTTAAAGATTATTTTCCTTTTTCATATATTAAACTATCTCTATTTAAAATAAAGTTGTGGAGGCAGAGGCATTTCTTTTGATTTGGCTCTTGTTTGTCAATATCAAATCAATAGTCAATATCAATCTGGCACATCATCATCAGATCTACAGAGGTGAAAGACTGAAATGGATAGGTAAGCAGCTGGCATAAACATTCAGTAGTTTCAATTTACTCTAGAAAAAAATCAGTTATAGAAGAATGCTGAAATTGATGTTCTGTTGCTAGTTCATCAATTTTTCTTTTTAAAATGGCAGTATGTTTAAAGATGGCAACTCTGGATTATTTTTAATTTGTAGAATGGTGCAACAAAAAAGGCCTTGTTGCCATCTGAGATACTTCACCTACCTGTATCTAAGGTGATTCTAAATCAAACTCCTGGATCTACTGATGATACTGATTTGTGTCACCTTGTCAGCAAACAAGTCTCTGATTTTACATATCTTTTTTATCACTCCGTTCAGGACACAAGAATATTTTTCCTCTAACCTTCATTGACAGTCCAACCACAGTGATGATGTCAGTCTTGTGACAGATGATGATCTTCCTGATAGTCCAGTACCAGCTTATCAGAAACTTAGTTGCAGTATTTACATAGGTATCATGGGCAGTGCTGTTATAACCCACCAGAATTAAGATTTAAATTTGCTAAAAATGAGCTAGTTTAGAACAGCAAGTCCATGCTATTCTCAATGCTGACAGTTAAGGTGATAATCAAATGTTTTGTTAAAAGGATCTAAAGACAGGAGATGGTTTAACTGTAGCTGGCAATCCATGAAGTGATGCCTGGTACAATTTAGAAAAGTGGTATCTTCCAGGTAGTAGAAAGGAGCTGAGAAACAGTTGAAATCTGCTATTCTTGAAGAAAATATCTGGGGTCTACTTCAAGGTTAGTGGCTTTATTGTCTGCCAAAGGAACAATAATTACTTCAATTGTGCTTTGTTTAATTCCCCTCAAACTATTAGCTGCATTGGAGATGCTCACAATGAAAAGGAGGAGGGGAGTTACCATAATTACTCAGCCTCAGAGATGGCAGCTGTTCCATGATTTAACTTTTTTGGACATGCCTCATATAAGCCAGGCTGAAGTATGAAAGGAAGGTTTATTTGTCTGTAGTTCTTGAAATAATATAACAAAAATTTGGCATGCAAGAGTAAAATGGGCCACAATTTACAATTTAGAAAAAGTGGGTTTCCTCTCTCAGGAGAATTGAACCTTCCTTGATTAATGTTTAATATATGCAGTTCTACACGCCAGTAACTTGAAATGTGCAAAAAGGAAGGCAGAATAGGCTTGGAAATGATAAATTATGGAATAAGGGAAGCTTTCCCTTCTTTTTCCTTTTTAGAGTATGGTCTGACTTATAAGAAATAGGGAGCAAAATACACCAGTGTTTCTTTATCCTCCCAACTGCAGCCAAATAGAGCCACTAACTCCACAATACATTGGTGGATCTAGTGAATCAAACTATGCTTTTAGAGTCTTCTTGCTTTCGGCAGTCTTATTGCTTTTAAATTTGAAATTTAATTTATTTGCCTACTGCTCTAAGAACAACATTTTATTCTGTCACCATTTCCATCCCCCCTTTTAAAAAGCAGAGTAAATCCTAAAAACTCTGGAAAAGCACCTTCAGGAAGAGGAAAAATATGTATACTAATAGTTCTCAAGACAGTATTATGTACAGCCAGCTTCCCCTGCAAAATATACAGGATGGTTTTCTGCATGCTCAAGCTGAAAAACAAAATTGTATGTCAGGAAAAAGTGCCTCCTCAAGCCTCAAATGAAAAACATCTGTATATCTCTATAGTCTGTTGCTTTCATGCTTTATAGTCATTGGCCATGTAAGCTGGAATTCTGGATACTAGTCCCATACCTTTGGAGGACTTTAGTTTTTGTTATAGGGTCAGGCAGAATTGTGGGGAACAAAAGTGTTAAAAAATAAAATGGTATTTGCTCTGGTAAATAGCTAGCTACTGCTAGAAAAAAAATACAAGGATAAATAGATCACAGTTTAATCTAGTAAGACTACTATAATGTTATCAATAACAGTAGGTATGAATGATGATCCTTCCCCCAATTGCCATAATTGAAATTACAATATTTTACACACATATCAAAGAAAACAACAAAAGAGCAAGCTCTGAAAAATATATTACAGAAACGTTGATGTCCAAACGTTTCGACTTTTACTCAATCTATAACCTAGAAAAAGACCATATTTTTTCTATAGTTTCACAAATATTCCATGTATTTACTTTGCTCTACTTTGGCATTTGTTTAAGAATTTATAAAATTGATCTTACACATAGTACACTTTGGCTATAATTTTGGTTTGATTCTTCTCCCCTCCTTAAAGAACACAATTTGAGGAGTCAAATAATAATAATAATAATAATAATAATAATAATAATAATAATAATAATAATAATAATAATAATA